AACCACCACAAGGTAATTTTATGTAGTCCTGTGAAGTTTTGTTGAAATCGGCTAAAAAATGTAGGAAATTCGATCCAACATATAAACGTTACAGACACACACACACACACACACACACACACACACACACACACACACAACCTGCGTTTTATAATAAGTAAGATAAGATAAGATATATACATACATACATACATACATATATACATACATACATACATACACACACATACATATGCACCTACAATTCATACAAACACATATATGGATATAAACACCATTATCCAAAATGCCCATACATACATATATAAATTCACATATAAATGTCCCAGTTCATATAAGTTTTTTTGTACATACGAACAAGCACAGCATCCATGTGTTCATACATTCATTTCAAAAACAAAAGTAATATTTTCCCTTTTTATATAGTTATTTCTAAATATATTTACTTAAATGGAGGTGGCTTTTATGTCTACATTTAAAAACCAACTCGTTGTGTTTGTTCAGTAATATGTCCGGATCTTTATGCCTTATTATTAGGATTTTCTCTTTTATGCACAAGTTACATCGGTCTCTGAAGTTTATTGGAGTTCTAGCCCTCGAGACGATTTTCCATTTTACTTGTGGGGTTAAGTTGCTTTCCAACAAATCCCAATAATGTTTAGATAGTGCCGTTTGGTGCTTCTTGGATATATTTGTGAAGGATTGGCGATGATTATAAAAACGTTGCTTCCAATTTCCTGCCGATATTCCTATGTATATCTTCTTCTGTTTAATATCTTCTTTGGGGAAAATTGTAGCTTCGTATATTACGTTTTCTGCCATGCATATTCACTCTACTGGACAAACGCATCCTTCCCTGCAATTACAGGTAGATTTGTTCTTTTGGCTTGCATTAAGATCTTTTTCTAGTTGATTATTATGAAATTCACTTAAAATTTTGCTATTGTGAGAGCTAATAATTTTTTCTACATTGCTCATGCAGAAATAACTAATTTTTAAATTCATTTTGTTGAATATCTTTTTTAATAGTTCATCTTTTCTAAAATGTTTGTCTATTAGTTTAAGAAAATATTTCCCTATATTAATATTCGAAAGCTTACAGAAAGCCGGGTTGAACCATATAATTTTCCTTTTCCTATTTTTGGACTTAGAGGATGTGTTATTAATAGATTTATTTATATAATTTAGTGTTTGTTTAAATTTACTTTTTAATAGGGCTCGATTGTATGTTGATTTATTTTGGTTAAAAATAGTTTTACTAGAAGATAGTTTATTTATTCTTGTATTTACTGTATTTGGAATTTGTTTTATAATTGCTTTAGGGTGGTTTGAGTCGATATTTATGTATATGGGCGATTGGTTTTCCTTTTGGAAGGGTTTATAAGTGCTATTGTCGAGATCAAATGTTACGTCTAGAAAATATACTATTTTCAGGTTAGATGATATTTCGATTTTAAATCCTAGAAATTTGAATGCCTTAATTATTTTCTTCTGTAGTTGGGATGTTAGAGGCTCATTGGAATTTGGTATAACAATGAGTCCATCATCCCTGTAAAGCCCTACATTTTGGGGGTTAAGGAATCTGCTCAGAATATCTAAAATGTATATACCTATTAGGTCTGCTATTTGAGCAGAATCAGATGCTCCCATTGGGACATCGAAATTGTCTCTGTTTTTTTACACCAAGTAGTGTCATTAAGTCTCAGTATAGACTGTCTAGAATCCATTATGATTTTTACTTCTTCGTCAGTAATTTCAGTATAATTTTTAGCAAAAATTAAGCTATTTTCTAATAAATCTTTAGAAATGGAGGTATAGAAGTCGATAATGTCTAATTGGATAAAAGTGGCTTTATTTTTAGATTTTGGAACCCGTTAATGGCGTCAGATGAATCTTTCCAAAGGTTTAAGGGGTAATTTTCTAATATAGATGTGTTTATTCTTTTTAGAATGTTTCTGGAAATTATTCCTAACTCTGATTTGGAGGGATTTATTAGTCTGGAATGTATATTATTTTGAAAGTTAGGTTTATGGTCTTTAAAAAGTAGGTAGGCATCTTTCAAGTGAGTAGTGCCCATTCTATCAGCAATATTATATTTAAATACGAATTTAGCAGTTTCTCTGTGTATGGAGGATAGGTGCTTGGAGTTATTATCTTTTTATAAGAGTTAGAGACTTTATTCAGAATCAGATGATTGTATACCGATGGATTAATCTTGTAAATATTCTTGGATTTATCAGCTCTGATCCATATTTTTTTTGATTTTTTGATATTTGTAATGTCCTTTTTAAGATTGGATTGGAATGAGTTGTATTTCTTTCTAAAAGATATTTTATTGATTAAATTAATTAAGTCCTTTTCAAAAGGTTCCAATAATTTATTGCTGGGTGGTGTGTTTTGGGAATCCAAGTGAAAAGCGTTATTAAGGTTTGTAGGTTTGTTTTGGGGATTAAAATGGAAGTAAATTTTTCACCTCATTCTTTTGATGAGGTCAATAATTTTTTTCCGTCAACGAAATGGTGAAAGATTCAACAGAAGTGTAAGGAATGTTTTTTGAGTGAGTAATCCGGTGTAAATTTATCCATTATATGTTGGAAGTGTGGATCCTTAAGGTAATCCGATGGGAGGTAATCCAATAAGAGCTCAACTTATTTTATAAGGAGTTAATAGTTATTTTACTTATTTTATAAGAGCTAATATATATATATATATATATATGTATATATATATATATATATATATATATATATATATATATATGTTGGTTTCAGTTTGTTTAGAATCCGCAGTTTATTTTACATTATCTTCGTCCGCATTCGTATGTTTTGCAAATATTTGGCACCAAATTAAATTATTATTATTACATTACTTGTTACGACCAAATCCTAAATTATATCCATCCTGGGTATGACGATAAACTACATCCGCGTCCTGGGTAAGACGATAAACTACGTCCGACAGTAGGATCAGGAGGATTTGAGGATCGTGAAACCACCTCTTAATTGCTGGTGTTCCCAAGTCCACACTGACCCGGGGTGGTAGCACCTGTTAGGGTCCCAGCTATGGACAAATAGTTAACCCCCAAACTTGGGTCAAAACACTATGAAAGTGTAAAAATAGGTATCAGCAATACATTTTTGAAGGGAAAAAATATTACCAGCAATAAAAATATTGTCAGCATTAAATAATCCATTGAGATTGATATACCGTAAAACAAACCAAACCAAATCTAAATTATATGAAATCGAAACATCGCTGTCAACATTCCAATCGAGAAAATGTTGCAGTTAATATTAAAAGTATTTTAAGGAAGATCACTTAGATTCTTTTTTTAATTTTATGCTCAGGAATTTTTATTCACTTCAAAGTCTAAACTCTTTTTTTTAATTAAGTTATTAACTTGTTTGAAAATTGTTTGGCTTCGCTAATGGAATGTTATTCCAATTTCACTCAGCTGATATCGTTAAAGTGAAGAATGATATTAAATTTAATTGCTTTCCACTCTTCAAGCTTTTCGCCATCTTTTATCCATCTTCTTAGCAAGTTGATGGAATCCATTTAAGTAAATGTCACTTGCAGAATAACGCCGATTAAAGTCCCCAGAAGAGTTCGAAAGCAGATTGCTTGGAGGAAATTGAAGAAAATCTTATTTATTGGTTCAGTTTATTGGAAGCTGCACTTCAAATGTCGAATTTTATGACCAACATGATGCTTCAGAATAATAACTCAACATAAATATTCTGCAAAACCTTCTCGTTGTGCCCATTTTCGCAGAGATATGTAAGAAATGTTTCTGTCTACAATTTGATTGTAATATTCGCTATAGGATTGTACACTGCTGATTGGATGAGTTCCGTTATCACACAATGTACGAAGGGTGGCTGAAAAGTTCTTCGTCTGACCATTTCCCAAAATCTGACCAAGTGATCAAACATCAGAATTTAGTTTTAAAAGGCTTCTTTATCGGACTGAGAAATTTTTAGCACTCATTCATACACATTCCGTTCCAAAATTATAAGAACTTTGTGAAAATGACTTATTTCTTGTTGAATTACTTCTTTCGTGTACCATAAAAAAAAAAACAAAAAAAACTTGTCTCTTGAAAACACTGGCGGTACAAAGTAAAATTGAAGCACAACAACAACAACAACAACAACAATAATAATAATAAATAATAATAATAAAGAGAAGAGCGCTATTTAAGAAAAGAAAAAGAACAGTGTTTGACAATGTTAATATTTCGACAAGATGTCTGTTTTCTTGAAGTTATATTTAAAAAAAATTAATGTATAAAGAACGATTGATCTCTGAATCTACAAAAAATTATGTCTTTGTACAAACATTGGTTGTCTTGTAATGAAAATCGCGCTGAGGACAGACGTATTATCATTGCAAGACAAGCAACGTTTGTACAAAGATTTATAAGTTTTTGTAGATTTATATAATTTTATACTTGAAACTTTTTTACTTGAAGAAGACAAACATTCTGTTGGAATATTGTTTTCTTTCTTTTCTTTTTGTTTACTTAAATCGCGCTCTTCTCTTAACTGTTGAAAATATTGGAAGAGTTGCGTCAATCATTTTATTTAATAATAATAATAATAATAATATATACATATGTATTGTTTGAAAATTGCTATATTTTAGAAGTCATGTGCTCAGCAGCGGAGATACGGCGTTTATAGAGAAAGAAAGTGTCAACATAGGAATCAACATTGCATGGTTACTGCCAGTTTCATGACCCAATGCGATCTTCAGATGTTTAAAGAAAATGTTTTTATAAATTTCTAGTCAGTGTGTATCAAATCAAAAAAATAAGCTGTAGATTGTAATATTTCAATATGTCACTCGTAAAATCCTTAAATTTAAAGCTTTATTCTCTTGGGAGACATATTCTGACTTTCTTTTTCTTGCATTTAATGTTTGTTTCTCTTCATAAGAAGCAAACCGTTGTTTACAGATAAAGGTAATAAAAAGTACAATTTTTTGACAGATAATACGAAAGAGGAAGAGTGAAAAAGAAGGTGGATGATAGAGAGAAAAGTATTTGCTATGGCACCGGAGAATTAAAAAAAAAAAACAGCACCTCCCCATTGAACTTAAAGGTTATAGACAGAGGTTAGCTTAATATCTTCTGTTAGCACGACACTGTCTAAAATTCTTAATGGAATAGGAATATAGATATGGAATGATTTATGTATCTATTTATTTGTTTCAAAAGAAGACTTTACATGCTCTGGTAAAGTGGTAAATTATGTCCTGATCTCAGAGATGGGAGAAGAAGAATCCTATTTTACGCAAGATAAAAAGAGACTACACGTTTGCTTTCCATTTACCGTGATTTTGTTAGATGTGTAAGATTTTGGAGGTAGTTGAAATATCAACTGAGTGAATCGCCTGCCGAGTTGGGCGCCATTATGACGCCTTTTGAGAATTTGATCCTGACTGCATTTTTACAGGAATCGCGTTCACGTTGTAGATCGTTGCAGTTACCTATGAGTCCTTTGAAGAAATGCAGTTGATAGGATGGAAAGCAAAAAACGCGGGTTAGGGTTGAGAGAAGTGCATTTTTATGAATAACAAAACCAAAGAAGGAACAACATTCCGATAGACGTATTATGGTATTAGTTTGATCAGGCTAAATAGGCACAAACTTATGTTTCATATATATATATATATATATATATATATATATATATATATATATATATAAATAGAGAGAGAGAGAGAGAAAGAGAAAGAGAGAGATATATATAGAGAAATAGATATAGAAACTAGCATATCTATGTACACACATGTATGCAATATATATATATATATATATATATATATATATATATATATATAATAAAAAAATATAGTTTTAAGAGATACTATATGTGTAGCTAAAAGTGTTCAGTATTAGAGATAGAGCGTATGGAAATATAAAAGTAGACATTGTGGTCAATATCAATTTCTTAATATGTATATATAGGAAAAGTTGCAAATTAAAAAAATAATAATGTTTTTTATGAAAGTATTTATATATATATATATATATATATATATATATATATATAAATACTTTCATAAAAAACATTATTTGTAAATTAGAAAATAATAATGTTTTTATAAAAGTATTTATTTATTTATATATATATAAATAAATAAAGAATTTCATAAAAAACATTATTATTTTTTTAATTTTCAACTTTTTATATATATATATATATATATACATATATATGGCGGCAATATAGTTACTATACATTTGCGTATAATAAAAGCAAAGCATTGAAGCAGGTGGCTTGCAGTTCGAACAATATCGGTAATTAATTTACTATCGATTACTATAGCATTTTATTGTTATTAACCAGATTTAATAGGAACTATTTTAATAATAAATTTCTGGACTCTTGATTAATTGCTTGTTTTAAGTAATTGTTATTGTAAGTAACTGTGTAGGAAATTTATTGCCGCCCAGTATATATATATATATATATATATATATATGTGTTTAATAAAGACAGAAGAAAAACTTTTCTTTACCAACGCGTTTTGTTCTCTAATAGACCTTATTAAAGCTATCAAAGCAATATATTTATGTTTTAGGTATAATATGTGAGCGCATTTAAAATTTATTAATTAAGAATATATTTAACGTGAACATGTTTATTTCTATACTAGCATAACGTAAGCGTCAAGAATAATGGTATTATTATATCCTTACTCTGTCCTGGACATTGAGTTCTACCTGGATTCTATCCTCTAATATTATCTATCTATCTATCTATCTATCTATCTATCTATCTATCTATCTCTCTCTCTCTATATATATAGTATAATAAAGGAAAAACAGGGACGTCATAAAGATGATGCTCAATGTAAAATATAAATATTATACAAAACAGAACAAATGTATAACAATACTCATGTGTTACTGCTTTCTTTAATAAAAGTTTCATGTGGACAATTGAAGCAGTTGTCTCACAATCCTCGGGCGGTAAGTGCGACGTTGATACTCAGCTCCTTATAAGGTTTATCACATCATTCTTCCATTCTGAGTATTTTGAGACATGAGCACCTTGTGGCAAACACACGTCAGTACAGACGCAAAAGAGGCCCAAGATTGCATGCGGACATGTCTGTCAAAACCAGTTACATCCTGGTTTTCTCCGTTAGCAACAGGACAGCTTTGCGTATCTAGATACAAACCTTTCTCCAGTCTGTTTAGATCAGGCTCCCTGCCAGCGTCGCCAGTCACTAAAAGCGACAGGAAAACCAGCGGTCAGGTAGTGAAGTCGGTCTCGTGGGCATTTTGTTCTTAAGGTTGCTGTGCCTTTTTAGGCAGTATCATTTTGTTACCTCTCGTCTCATTTTCTCTGCCTGCCTATTACACCGTAGCGGCTTGGAGGACTATCGTTTAGCTGTTTTCCCCAACATCAATACACCCTTGTAGTAGTTTATATATATATATATATATATATATATATATATATATATATATATATATATATATATATATATGTATATGTATATGTATGTATGTATATATATATATATATATATATATATATATATATATATATATATATATATAAATAAAAAAAAAGAACAGTTTATATATATATATATATATATATATATATATATAGTCGAATCTCCTGTCGAATTCGACGTATGAGGGTCAAGCAGATCAGTTTCCAGGAAACCGACAGCCCGACACCGGCACATGAGATTTGATTATAGTGGTGAAGGCTTCGTGCAGGACCATCCACACTTTTTGAAGGGACGAATACAGAGACTTGGTGCACCGAATGCCACAAGGTTCTCAAACGACCCTTCGCAGGTTTTGAATTCAGTGTTGACCTTCTCCTAGACCAGTTGCCATCCAAGGCTATAGAAGCCAGTCTGTCCTGCTATTTTACCCATAGCTGGAGGGAGAGGAAGAGGATTCATACCTTTCCCAAAGGTATTAGCACATAAGTGAATGTAATGGAACTCGGCTCTGCGATTCCTCAATCCAAGCCGCTCTCCATTACTCCATATATATATATATATATATATATATATATATATATATATATATATATATATATATATCTTATTAAGATAATTTCATCCAAAATGGTGAAAAAATGTCAGGTGAATCCGCTGTGGGTGTAGTAGGACATCAGAGTTAATCTGTACCAATTTCTTCCGAGTCTATAAAGAGACATAAGATCAGGTATTGTCATGATGGAAAACGGCACTCTGTCGGTTAGCTAAGAACTACGGTGTTTCGTTGATAACTGAATCACACAAGCAAAATATCCTTTTTTTTCTGTATTCGCTAAGTAAAAAATATGTAAAAAATTGAAAAAAAGCTACTCAATGAATAATATTTGTTAGGTCATTTGTTAGATCATAATTAATAAAAACCAAAAATAGATAAAAGTGTAAATAACGCTATACTACTGCTGGGCACAGATTATGACACAAAATGTTTTAAATTTTCATTGTTTATTGAAAATTACACTAAAAATACTGCACTGTACAATATATTACATCATAATATAGATAGATTGTTTAGTATAATTTCCCTTTGAAGTAAATGAAAGATTATTTGATGGCACAATGATTTAGTAATAATGTGCTTTTGCAATGCATCTTGTTCATGAACAAAACTTCAGTAAATTATAAATTATGAAATTACAACGCTACAATTTTGAACCTAAAGTTAATCTTTATTCTCATTTCCTCAAAAAATGGTAGCCATTTGGAAAAAACTATCTGGTGTTATTATTTAGCATCTATAGCAACTATCAAATTGAGTGCAATGCCACGGTTCCGAAATTGACCTGCCTTAATGTATATAAGTCACGAGGGAAATAAAACTAAATGTTCCAACGCCACCTATTGGAAAATTCTACAAACATTTGCTCCAACGCAATAAAAAGCTGCGATTTAGAAGACTGATTTTCGATGTAGAAAGATACTTTCTGTTTGGAAAACTGACACAACACAATCTTCCACTCCTTACACAAATTATTAGACACGTACACGCGCACAACTATAGATATCTACATCTTTAAGTAGATTCATGCATTTGTCCTACTCCCTACACATATGTAATTGAATGTATATTTTTAAAGAACTTTTAAACCTCGATATCCAAGGAATATACAAAACAATGCCATTGATGCAGGTTTTTACTCCTCCACCCCCTTCTGCCGTGCAAGGAGTATTAAATAACAAATTATACGAATGGCAAAATCCCAAAAGATAAACAAACATTGACATTTTAGGAGTAAATCTTGTAACTCGAACGCTTCTATTTTGGGCGAGCTTTTCATATTCGACTAAATAAACACATTAACGTAATGCTAGATGTGCATAATTCTGTTCCATAAAATTCTAAAAAAAATTTATTTCTGTTATTGTATACTTGAAGATTTAGTTAAAGATTTATAGTAAACGTTTAAATATTTTGTAGTCTGATATTTGCTTTTTTGTGTTTGTATGTTCACTTCCACACTTTAAAAATAACTGGAGATATGAAAAAATGACTGATATGAAAATGACTGATATGAAATATTCGAACAGAGCATGTAAGATGGAAAATATGTGAAAACCAATCTGCTGTTTAAGATGTTATTTTGTTGTTTGTTCAATAGGTGCACCTCTAAATATCTCGATGAAAAGTTTCTGGAAGCTGATCTCTTCTCTCACCTATCTATCAATTGGGAAAAGAATGGCTTGAATCATTCAACACACCCAAAACTAAACTAGTAACATTTTATCGAGTTTACCTTAAACCTGCACGAATCCTGATGAGTGGTCATAGCCCCAAAGAGACTTCATGACTCGGATGCTTAACGGATCTAGAGCTCACCACAAATGGAATGCGTATATTCGGTGCCATCACAAAAACATACGAGAAGAATTGTCGGTTCCTGAAATCGTTACAGCCTATACGAGACTCCAGCTGTCATTCTGTCTTTACAAGAGTCAGATCAGACTAAGAATGGAAATATGCTGCCATACCTGGGTTGGTGTTGCCCAATCCTCCCTGTCTATCATCGACAGAGTTCAAAAGTGTTTACAAGGCCCCGTGAGTGATTAATTATTACCTC